CTCTTCTGGTTTTGTTTTTGTTCTTTTCCTCCCCTCTGCAGTAGCCCCCAATGTATTTTATATCCTAACAATCCCTCTTACCTATTTGATTAGATATAAAAAGATCCTTCAAACATATTGTATTTGTAGTACGTTTAATATCCGTGAGTGGCATCGTGGGATTTGTATTTATTAGACAACTGTTCCCTACATCTCAGGGAAGCACTTGCCTCTCTGGAACTTCCTCCTATTCGGTCTTACTTTTGCCTCTGAGGAACTAAACAGAAAATTCTGTGCGTTCTTCTACATTTGAAGACAGTTGTCTAGCTCTTAATCCTGTTCGTGACGCCAATTGTAAAGCTCGACCACGCCAGTTGTCGGGCTCTTTTATCTGCTGGTAATCCTGCACCGACTGGGCTGATTGTCAAGCTAGGGCTGGGTCTGGAGCTCCCAGACCCCTCAAGCCCATTCACAGACTGGGTCACAAACCCTTCATATGCCAGGCTGGGTCAGCAGACCCTTACACACGGGTCTATGAGGTAGGTCACCGGCCAAAAGGTCCTTGGAGCCATAGGAGAGCATGGCTGTGTGGGGCAGACGCTCGAGGCGGACGCCCACCCACCTACTTCACTAAAACTCCTCTCTTCTCTCTCTCTCTCTCTCTCTCTCTCTCTCACTCTCCCTGAAGAACACAAGAATAGCAACAAAACTAAAAAGATACATTGGTGCACATGCGCGCTAACTCCACACACACACACACACACACACACACACACACACACACACACAACTTGCTTACAAAGGATGTGCTAAAACCACACCCAACCGGACCCGAGGTGAGGGCCCTGACCAAACTATTCTATTTTCCCAACAACAGTCATCATGGCCCTGTCTTCCTCAGCCTCAACATGCCTCTCTCCTCCTCTTTCCTCAGAGGATGTGGGATTTTCCTCATCCTCCCCAGGATAGCCTCACTAGAGCCATCCACATCCCCAATGTGGATGTCACACTTCTCAGCCATTAAGCAGTAACCTCTTGTGTTGAAAGGTTGGGAGAGGAACATGAGAGATGACATGGCCAGACCACAGAGCAAGCTTGTGCAATTGCTAAGTTGAGTTGGGAATGTGAACTTCATTGCCATAGGTTAGTAACCCCTGCCCGTGCCCCTCTCTCCCTGGTTATCAGGGTGGGAGAACTGTAAGCCTTGCTGACGTGGGTGCCATGGGCCGTGCAGCCCTGCCCACGCTCTGCCCTGGGTTCTTAGAGCTTAGCATTAACCCCCCCCCCCAGATGCACAACAGATTCTCCCCTTTGTGGGACTTGCATGGAAACGTCCTCAGAATGTATGGGAAGGGTTGCAAACCCTGTCTCCATCTTCCACGCTAAGAGAACTCGGCCTGGGGAACCCAGGGCCTTTACTTATTGGCCCATGTCAAATAACTGCCCTCTTTATCCTCTGCTCTTTCGTCTTTTGAGCATAATATAGAAGCCAATATTATGCCTTTCCTTTTCATTGAGGTGAAACTCACATAACATAAAAAAAAACATTTTAAAGTGCACAATTCGGTGGCATTTAGTACCTTCATCATGTCTATAACCACTCTCTGAATCTAGTTCCAAAACATGTATATCATCTCAAAAGGACACCCCATACCCATTAAGCATTTACTCCCTATTCCCCCTCCCCCTCTGCCTCTGGTCACCCCCAATCTGTGTTCTGTCTTTATGTATTTACCTATTCTGGACATTTCTTATGTGACATTTATATATGGGGTTATTCAATATATGACCTTTCATGTATGGGCTCTTCAGCTTCATCCACAATGTTGCATGTATTTCATTTCTTTCTATGGCTGAATAATATTCCATGGTACGTATATTCTGAAATTTGTTTATCCATTCATCTGTTGATGGACACGTGGGCTGTTTCCACCCTTTGGCTATTGTGAACGATGTTGCTATGAACATGTGTGTACATGTACTTGTACCTGTTTTTAATCCTTTGGGCATATACCTAAGAGTAGAATTGTGGGGTTATATGGTAATTCTATGCTTAGCTTTTTGAGAAACTGACAAACTATACATTTCTTTTTAAAATAGCAGCTTTACTCTGGAACTTTCCTGTATGTTGAGAGATGGGGAAATTGGATGAAAAAGCCCTGGGCTAGGAGTCAAGAGACTGGGTTCTCTTCCGGAGTTTGCCACTAACCAGCTGGGTGACCGTGAGCGAGTCACTTCCCCTCCCCTGGGCTCATGTGAAAAGTAAGGGGATTAAATAATCTTTAAATTCTCTTCCTCGTTTAAGATTTTGTTGGAAGAATTGGGTTTCAGAGAGTAAAGGGGGAAAGAATTGTCAAACAGCTAAATGTGATTATCTCTATGTTCTTTTTCTACTGTGTTGTTAAATTGTGAGTTTAAAATGTCCCAGACAATTGGGCTTTTTTTCTGCCAATGTGTTTCTGGTTAATGAATAGCTCTGGCTTCCTACTTCCATCAAGATTCTCCAAATAAAATATCCTTCCCTTTCCCATCACTTCTTCCTGCTTGGCCACTCCTGAACAAAACACGGCAGTCATGGGGCCAAGACTGGAGCCATTCCCACTGCCCCTGCTGAAGGGATGCGGAGCCTTCCTCAGGTGCAGGTTCCCTCAGCTCTAAGTTTTCAGCTGGGTAATTTGAGTCTGGTCTTTGGAGATGTGTAAACCAAGGAGAGGCTTTAGCAGGCTCCTTCTGGGATAGTGTGAGGACTGACTTAGAGGAAGAAGAACCAAAGACCGCCCATGATGCCTTCTACCCAAAGGGCCCCTCCTTGGGAGATTTTCTGCCCTCTTAACCCTCTTCCAGCTGGTTGGTTTCCTGGCCAGAATGCAACACCTGTGTAGAGCAGGGTTTTTCCTCCACTAATTGGTAGGCTTCACAGTGTGCCTCCCAGGTCCACAGCATGTGCTCTCCTGCACCACCTGGTGGTTTTCTGGGGAAACACGACTTAAACACGCAATCCAAGTGGCCTCTTATTTCTTTCATTCAGTCATTCATTTGTTCATTTTTCATCCATGCATATATCCATCCATCACATATTTTTGAGGGCCTTCTATGTTTTAGGTACTATGCTAGCTTCTAGGAATAGAACAATAAACAAGACAGGGCACCTTCCCTTATAGAGACAGACGAGTGACTTTTGAAATGAATACACAGTGAAAAGTGCCGTGATGGTGGGAGTAAAGGGTGTACAGGAACACAAATAGTGGACACGTAAGTCATGCTTGGCAAACCCTAGCAAAAGAGGGCAGACTCCAAGAGTGCTCTCTCTGTGTTGAGGTTAACCCGTGCAAAATTCAGTCAGGGCGTGATGCTCTCAGAGACCTGGTAGAAGAGCAGTGTTGGCTGGACACAACACACTGGACACAGGGAGGGGGCTGGGAGGGGACACTGCATGGGGCATGTTAGGCAGGGCCTCTGGGCCATGTCAAGGGCATTGCTTTAACTCTCGGGCGGCAGTGAGCTGCTGAGAGCTGGACTAAGGGAATGGCATTTGCTCTTTAAGTGGAAGCAGAGAGGCCACTTAGGAAGCTGTTGCAGTAACTCCAGCCTGAGCGATGGTGATCAAGACCAAAGTGGTGGCGGTGGGAAGGGAGGCGAGTGGATGGAGTTCAGAAATACACACGAGGGTGGGGGCGGATGCTGGGCCCAGCTTCCAGGAAAGGAACTGCTGAAATGTGAATCTGAGTCCTTCAGCTTGCCCCACATCCTGGCACAGGGCACGTACCTCTTCCTCTTGCAATGATCAGTGACCTGCTTTTTGCTCCAGGGCTCCAGAAGGATGACCTTGTCTCCTAGGCACTCTTGTCCTGCCCCTGTCCCCTGCACCCTCAATCAGGATGGGTGGGTGATGGTGGGTGTGTACAGTGAGAGTGGGATTCAGGTTGCTTCCAAATAAAATAGGAGCAAGAGAACTGTGCGTCCATTTGACAGGTAGCGATTGATCCAAAAAAGCTGGGGGAATTCTGGAGAAGCCACCTGCTGCCTTCCTCTTTGACTTGGCCTCACGGTAGAACAGCAAACTGGGCCAGTCTTCATACCATGTTTCAGAGCCTCAGGCAATCTTAAAGCTCCATGTTGTGCCTCAGCCATAGGCCATCTCTGCTCCTCCCTCTCAGAAGGAGGGAAAGAAGGGTTCGTCTCTGCAAGATCCATTTTAGGCTCCTTAGCTGTTTTTAACCCTCACCTCAATAAGCCCTACAATGATGCCTTGTGCTTGAGAATGTGAACACTGGGCTGTCGTAAGTGTTGCTCATTTCCCCTGGGTCAATGTCTCATCACTGGCATTAAAGGGACAATCTCAGGGACCACCACACCTTAGCTGCACAAAATATTTGCAGAAATCGTCAAAAAAAAAAAAAAAAGTCTTTTGGATGGCCAAGTTTTCATCTATCTTACCCATGATCCTCCGTGCTGCCAATGTCACCCTGCCCCCTGAACCCTGGGATTAAAGGACAACACTGTGATCTTGTCTCTGTGCCCCTAGTCCAAACACACTCAGCCCCAGGCACACTGAGCACATGTGGTTCAGAGAGGCTGTGGGACTGGCATATTTCTTACCAATTTAGTGCATGGCATCTTCTGGATGCTGGGCAAATGGGCCAGTGTTTTCATGGCTGTTCTGTGCAGATTTGCCCTCCACTATAACAGTGGTTCTCACCTGGGGGTGGGTTTGCCCTCTGTGGACACTTAGCAATGTCTAGGGATGTTCTCAATGGGGGCAGAGGTGGGCTTTACTGGCGTCTAGTGGGTGGGGGTCTGGAATGCTGCCAAACATCCTATAATGCCCAGGACAGTTCCCCAAACCAAGAATTGTTCAGTCCCAAATATCAATAGTGCCGAGGTTAAGAGACCCTGGGAGGTTAGGCTACCCCCTGTTCTATGACCAAGGGGACCCTTGAGTCCTTCAAGCTCCTGTAGGATTATGAGAGCAAACCACACATTCAAGAAAAACTCACTTGTTGTTGTGTTTCTTTCCACAGCTGAGCTCTGTCCAGGAGGTCCAGTTAGAGCAGCTGGAGGCAGCAAGACCCTACGGGCTGGGGAGCAGGGAGCGGGGCCTGGTGCTGAGGATGGCCAGGCAGCAGCCGCCGCCCTGGGTCCACGCAGCCTTCCTCCTCTGCCTCCTCAATCTTGGTGCGGCCATCGAGATTCCTATGGACCGTGAGTCCTGCGCCGTCCTCTCTTGTTCTCCTGATCTGGTGCAGAGGCATTGGAGAGGAGGGGAGGTCAGGGGAGAGTTAAGACCATTAAAGGAAAGGAGAAGAAGCATAAAGTGGATTCTGGGATTCAGAGCTGGGTTTCTCTCCAAATCTGGGACTGTAATAGTAGGGCTGGCCTCTCGGGGCTGTGGCCGAGCTGGTGCTTAGGCCTCCTAGAGCCTGCTCAGTGGGACCAGAGGTGGCAGAGTTTGGAACTTGGAGGTCGTCTCTCCACTCACCTCCCACAGCCCTCTTTGGTCTTCACTTGCCCCTAAAAGCAGAGTTTTGGGGGTCAAATGTGGTAGACTGTTCTTATTTGCTTTTCTGGTGTCTGATATATCTAGAACTGGACCCCTCAGGCCATTGTGGCTGGAGTAGTCAGGAGGAGGATGGCTCGGAGAGGGTTAGGGAGGGAATTATCTTTGCAAAAGATGTGGCTAAATGAGATATTAAGATAGAACCCCATTATGATGCCACCGTGAGAGAACCAGACATGGATTCCTTCTGTTTGTTTTCAACTTTCCCACAGTAATCCCCTGTCATTCTGTTTCTTGTGGTAGGGGCCTTATTTGACCATCAGAATCATAAAGTAGGGGCATAACATGCTGATCCAACAGCCATCTCTCCACCAGCCGCATCTGTTGCTGCGTTAATTAATGTCCAGCTGATTGGCAGCCATGCTCCTTGGCCCTGCCTTTGGTATATGCCACCTGCCACAATTCTGACACTTCTGCCAGATGACTTAGCATCCCAGTGCTAAAAAGTGGGCACACCACCTCTGACCCCTTTTCCCTGCTTCAAGGAATAGATGGGACCTATGTGATGCCAACGTTGACTTGGGCTCTCTCTAGTTGACAGGTGTCTGGGGAGGGTGTGGGAAAGTAATACAGCCTCCAAGAAGTCCCCACTGAGCTCTTCAAAGCCAGACCCTTGGTCCTGGAGTTGGCATAGTTTGGAGAGGAATTGCAAGTATCTCAGTCTTCCTCTTATCCCACTTTACCAAAAATCGCTGCCCCAAAGAAGTGGGCACTTCCAGATGATAGAAGGCCAGTGATAACTGTAAGCTGGACCCAGAAACAAGATGGGCAAGGCCCCTGCTGCCCTCCCAGTATCCCCAAGTGCGTGTGCTTGGGTGTGCACGTGTGCATGTGTGTGTGTGCACACTGTGTGAGTGTGTGCACATGGGGAGGAAAGGAGAGCTGTGAAAGGACTGTTCCCATGGCGACCGCCTGCACAGCTGGCTCAAGGAGAGTTTCTCATTAACGGTCCCCGGCAGACAGTCTAATAAGGAGCATGATAAGGCCACGTCCCTGGGGAGGAGATGGGGTGCAGAGGAAATTGGGTTATCAAGAAAGCGGTGAAGGCTCGTTTCTCTCCTGCTGCTTCTCCTCATTCACTCACCTGCCACTGATTCTGGGGGTGAGTGGGTGAGGGGTTCTTGCAAGGTGAACCTATAAATAGATGGCTGTGGTGTCTGTGTTAAGAATCTGGGTTTCTAACTGGAGATGGAGACTCGGCAGATAACCCAGTCAGTCTCTCCAAAGTACCACCCACAGGGCAGAGAACCAAATGCCCTGACTCCCTACCACATCTCCGCACCCCAGTATCCCTGAGGGGGTCCTGGGAGGTTCCCCTTCTGTGTGGTGTTCATGGAGACTCAGGGCCTGCTCAGGGCCAAACAGCAAATGGGTGATGGAGTCAGAAAAGAACCCAGGTCTTTTGACCCCCCAATTTGGCACTAGACATGCTCCACCCTGTGTCATCGACCTGCCTCCATCTAGTCCTTCTTCTTGGAACTCACTGGAATCACAGCCACCATGTGCCAGGCAGCGAGCTAAGGGCCGTGTGTGTCTCATCACATGATTCTCACAGCTGTTGCATGAAGCAGCTATTATCCCAGCTTGCAAAGTAGAAGATAAGTGAATTAGTCCGTTTCTGTTGCTTATAAAGAAAACACCTGGAACCGGGTGATTTATAAAGAAAAAATTTATTGCTTACAGTTTCTGAGGCTGGGAAGTCCAAGTCCAGAGAATACATCTGGCGAGGGTCTTGATGGTGGTGACAGTGACCCAGGGGTCTCACATGGCAGAAAATGGTAGAGCAGAGAGAGACTAACCTCTCACGGCTCTTTTAAAGCCCCCAGGAACCACACCCCCAGCCACCATTACTAATCCATTCACTATGGCATGATCCTATAAGGCATGGTCCTACAATCTGATCACATCCTCAAGGCCCCACCTTTTAATTACCATTATAGGATTTCCCACCGTCCACAGTTACAGTGGAGATTAAGCTTCTAATGTATGAAATTTGGGGGACACAATTCAATCAACCCACAGCAACAGGTAAGCAGCAAAGCCAGGGTATGACCACAGTGCCTCTCTGCTGGAGAGGTGAGTCCTTCTGTGACACCATTCCAGGGGACCTAGGCTGTGTCAGAGCAGGGGGCTCAGGCTGCTGGGAACATGCCCTCTATATATTGCACCTCCCTGGTGGCTTCAGGCACAGTGGCTGTAGCAGCATGTCCCAAATGAGTCTATAGAAGCTGCGCACAAGACAACGGAAAGGCATGTTGTCTTCAGAGAAGATCTAGTTGCCCTGGGAAGAGGTCTCTTCAGCCAGGTTCTCCCTCCCACTGGGCCCAGGATGACATTAGCTGAGCCCACCTTCCATCTCACCTTTGGCTGTGGAAAGATCAGGCATTCTTAACTTTCCCTGTCAGTTGGGAGGAGTGAGGGGGCTCAACCCTGTGCCTCCAGGGTAGGGGCATTGCTTCTGTTCTGAGGAGTTTGGGTGCCACCGGCTTCGTGGAACAGAGCCCTGGGCTGCTACACAATCCCCCATTTATGTGCCCAGCCTCCAGGTCCCGCTGCTTTGCCAGCGGAGTCACACGCACCCCTACCTCCCTCGCTCCCCAGCCCCAAGGAGAACAGCATGACCTTTGAAAAAAGCAAAGGGTCACCTCATCAACCAGAGTGGGTTTGCCAAAAAGGGAGGCTGCTGGAAGCTTGCCCCTCCGTTCCCCTCCCTGCATCAAGGCAACTCAGCATTTTCCCCCTAGGAACCCACAGAGGAGGGCAGTGGAATGGGAGAGACACTTCCTCCCCACCTTCATCCCAAATAGTGCTGCAGGATGGCCTCAACACACACACTCACACACACTCACACTCTGTCCTGCAAGGGCTGGGCGCCCGAGGTCGTAGACATCAGAGCCAGGGAGAGAAAAGAGGCACGTGAACAAAGAGGGCTTGCAGACCCAGCAGGCCCCTGCCTCACCCCTGCAGAGCTTGGCTGGAAGGTTTCTCCTCCTCTTTGGAAGCCAAGAGAACAAATTCATTCTCCACTTGGCATCATCATACAGCAAGCTCCATAGAAGGAGAGAAGGGCAGGTAGTGTGACACTGGGTAGGAGCTTGTTTGTCCTTGTTCCTAGACAGGCTGTCCCCGCTGTCTTCTCGCTGTGGCAGTTTGTCTTCTGGATTGGTTCTGTCCCTGTAGTAGATTCCTTGGTAACACAAGTGGTGGCTCCAAATGTCATTACCCCTTTAGGGTGGTAGATTCTCAAGGGGAGCCTGGCCAGATACCCCTGGTCAGTGTGGGGCTGGGGCAGCATCCAGCTAGCTCTAGCTGCCGGGAGAGTCTACTCCCGGGGTCTCCCCTCCTACCCTCGTTCAAAATGTCAAAGAGAACAGAGTGCCGAGGCTCCACCTGGCTAACTCGCTTCTCTGGCCAAGGATGGATTTGTGAAAAGAGCTCCGGATCTGGCCAAGGATGGATTTGTGAAAAGAGCTCCGGATCGGGCAGTGGGAGAGCTAGTTTTGATTCTAACTCTGCAGCAAACCTTCTGTGTGATCTTAACCAAGTGACTTCCCTTCCTTGGATTTGAGATTCTCTGGACAGTGTCTAGGGCTCTTTCCATTGGTTTTATAAAAGAGAGGCTTCTGCCTAGGTGGGCAGAGCTGATCCTTTATCAGGTTTCCCATCCAGGATAAGGCCAGAGCCCTCAACTGTATTTGAGGACCTGAGAAACGTCAACTGGGTCTTGAAATGAAGACCAGGTCTGGGCTGGTGGTCAAAAGGAGTGGGCCCAAGTGTCAGCCCCACCTCTCCTGAGGGTGGCCCCTCCTTGCCACCTCCCCCTCCCATGCCAACCCCAGTGGCTTTCAGTCTCTCCAGAATGACTTTTCTCAGGCCCCTGGTGGGAAAATCATATGTGGGTAAAGGTGCCACTGTTGGGAGCCCCACGGAGCGTGTGTCCAGAAACTAGAGTTTTGTTTTCCCCTGGACTTTTCATTCCTTTTTGTCTCCTGCCCAGGCAGCCCTGGCAGATGGTAAAGCACAGAGTCTTTTCAGTGCTCCAGCGGGCCACACAGCCCTGGCCCACTTGAAAGAATTATTTTGAACCTTCTCATAGGTCTCACCCAAGACTGTCATTTACTGACAGTGTGTCTGGTAGGGCTCATTCCTGCCGCGCTGTGCCCTCCTCTGATGTCACTCTTCCCTCTCCTTCTGTGACTTGTCCTGGCTTAACTCTGGCTTTCCAGGCTGTCCTGTCTGAGCCCCAAGCTCCTCTTCCACGTCTCAGTCTAGTCAGGTCCAAGCCTTCAAGGTCACCATGGTTCCACTGATGCCAGCACCCCCTGCCCCCCAGAAGCACTCACTCTGAAAAAGTCAGCCTGCGGGCCGGCCCCGTGGCTCACTCGGGCGAGTGTGGTGCTGGGAGCTCCGAGGCCGCGGGTTCGGATCCTATATAGGGATGGCCGGTGCACTCACTGGCTGAGCGTGGTGCAGACCACACCGTGCCGAGGGTTGCGATCCCCTTACCAGTAAAAAAAAAAAAAAAAAAAAAAAAAA